CACACACACACACACACACACACACACACACACACACACACACACACTGTAACACCAAAACATAGTCAGCCATTTGTATTCACAGCATCGGCCTCACCGTGTAGAGCGACAAGTGTCAGAGAAAGAAAAAAACTAAAAGCGTTCTGGCCACCAGCTGCAGGCAAAAGTGCTGAGCGAATTTCCACACAGAAATTAATGATTTTGCTGAATGTTCCTCATTTATAAATCTTACAGGTAATTCATTTACTTTGATTCTGAAATGGGCCCGGTGCAGCCATACACGGCGTAATGAGATACGTTGGAGATAAGATTCCCTTTTTATAATAATTTCACACTCGCCTTTTGGGAGCACTGAAAGAGACTTTGTAGTTACTGACGCTGCTAAGGCTCTCCCAGAACAAGATCTCTTTTTGTCAATTGCCACTTTGGTATTCTCTCCACATTCATTCGTACAATGTAGGCTAAAGAAAAAGCTGTAAAATGTCCACTTCAAACGTATAATGTAACAGCTTAGTTGCGTGGCATGAACAACTGAATTTAGTTTTGAATTTGCAAGCTGAGCTATGCTTGGCTAACATCATTTTTTCCCTTCAGTTACAGTTCACGAAGGTGGAAATGCAGGGTTGCATTATATTCTATATTAGCTCCTAAAAAGAGCTAATTTTGTTCTCTTCCATGGAAATGGCACTGTACGTATATGATCTTATTTAGCTGTCCCCGTTACAAATGCTCAGTCACTCAAGCAATGAGTCATCACATCTGCCATTCCATCAATGCTAATTGAGTTTGCTAATTGTGTCTAATTCATACAACGTCCCAGGAAGAACTTCAACAGAGGGAAAATTAACAGTGAAATGGGGACAGTGTTTTAATTTTGATGACCATAGTTGTTCTGCGGCTGTGAGACATTATCACTGCCATCTTTAGACCGCTCTGTCAGAAACAGATCCATTGGCTGCTGCTGAAAGTATTGTTGACTCCGAGAAGCTCATTTTGTTTGTTTATTTCCTAGTTATATGTTTATATTTTCCCCAATACAGATACGTGTGGGAATATTTATGACTAAACACAACATTGTTTTTAATTTTGGAAAGGTAATCAAGGCATTTTTTTTTCAGTCCTCTGGCAAATGACAGCTTTATCTAACTACTTTCACAATGCGGAGGGATGAAGGATGAAGGCCTTTTATTGCATTTCTAATATTGAACACTCTTTTCATTCCATCAGCTGTGTTCATGAAGGAGACATTACAAGGTTGTCAAAAACAAGCAAGGGCAGAGGGAACAAATTCAAGGGGAGTTTGTCGTTAATTGACTTTATTTGCCTTTCCTTTCCGCCAGCCTGAATTATCAGCATGGAGTTTAGTTTGGGATTGCAGGAATTAAGGATAACACCCTGCCCTGGCCCACTGCCAGCACGTTCACAGCAACACACATTTAAATAGGCACAAAGCTGCTTAAAATATTCACGTGTCACTTGGCCGCGCTGTAGCTTATAGAAATATGAAACCTTCTCCTCTCTACTGGCAAATGATTTCCAGTTTAAAAATACCCACTGTGGGTTCCAAGAACAAAAAGGAGATCTGTCTTACATTATCATGCAGCACCACACATGGGCTTGAAGCAGAGAACTATCTAGATGGATTTCTTAAACATGTTTACATTCCTGAGACTTTGAAGGTCTAGCTGTCATGCTTCAGTTACAAAAGGCTCGATGGTGATTAATTCTTGGTACAGATTTCTTGGCATTTTGAAATGGAAAATATCTGTGAGGTATGAAATTAGTTTTCTTCTTTTGCTTAGTGTTGACTCGTTTTTTTTAGATTTACCAGCTTCATTGGAAAAGATTATTCGCTTCAGAGAGGAGGCTTTAGATGATTGACCGTGTTTGCAGGGTAACACGTTCTAGCATAACTGCCTCCTCTGACATATTGTCTATTTTTATAAATCAAATACATCTGAGTCCTGTATTCTTCTACTGCCTTGTGGAAGGCTCGTCTACTGCATTGGCTTTTATTATTCACAGCCTATCACTCCTTGTCATTGCCACTCAAGCATTTCCCTGCATATCAGAATGGTTGGGGATTATATGTGCAATTGTTCTGTGAAACTGTCCCTTGAGAAGAGCCCTGCAGCAGCATGTCTTGCTGCCTGGTCATCTGGCTCAGAGCTGACTCAAGGTCAAAGCTGAAAATGCTCACAAGGAATCTTTATTTTTTGTTTAAAGAAAAAAAAAACTTTTTAACACATGTGGTGCTGTCCTTCTCACAATCCCACCAAGGGAGATGGAAGAAAATCTAAAGTCAATGAGAGGTGTAAGAAAAACAATGTTTCTTAGAGAAGGAAAAACAGCGAGAGAGGGAGTCTGTGTAAAGTGAGAGCGAGTAGAAAAACAGTGAGTGTTGAGGCCAGCAGATACAAAGTAAAGATAGATTAGTTTGCCTCTGAGCAGTCCACTCTCAGCCCACTCTCAGTCGGGGTCTTTTATTACTGTTTTCTGATGGCTTCTGTGAGGAGACACAGAAAGGACAGTAGAGTGTGTTGTGGAAATATAGTGGGAGGCCAGGAGTCATGCACTGCAGCTCTGAATAAATGTCAGCGGTATAGTATTAGCAAGGCGGGACTATAAGCATGAAATAGCTTTTACAGGACAGAACAACGGTAACAC